AATCACATTCAATTGAAACAACACCCGCAACATTCTTTATTCGAAAGTGTAACAAGCATATAGTGTCGTGTTTGTAGACACTCTAGTTAGTAAATATTGGTGGTGCAGGTGCATCTACCATTCTCTTTGTGTTCTCTCAAATTCTAACCTTCTGAATTCCTCATCGCCTTTATTTTTCTCTTCTCAAATCTATTTCACTGAATCACATACTTCTTGAATAATTTCTCCGAACCTTAATCTTCGCCATTACTGCTAACTAATCCTATTATCTCTCCTAAACTTTTTAATTTCTCATCACCTCTACCTTTCTCCTTATAAACTTATCTCATTCTTACTACCTCTACCACTATGGGGTTTGAATCGACAATTGTGTCTCCGTGCTAATACTACTACTGTATGGCAACTTGAACTTACGTGCGTACCTACAAAGTCTCCTACGTTGTAACTGACTGACTGACTACATAATTGACCTGGATATTGTACAATAAGTACCTGTTCATTAGTCAGTCCACTATTATTTTCTAATGTAATAATGCTGAATGAATTATAGTTTCTTTCAAATCCACTTTCATTTATAGTTAGTTGTCGTTAAAACACTTGGAATTCATTCATCTCTTATCGAAACAACGTACGTACGTACGTACATATCTCTCTGTCTCTCTCTTTCTTATGCCTGCTCATTCATTCACAATGATGTGTTTGCCCTTAGCAGCAGTGCTCATGGGGATCCCCCAGAACAAAAAAGAAAACATGAGTTTTATTTTTTCGGTACATTTTGTGAATTCTGTTTTGTTGTCAAAATGTAAAAAAATAAATTTATAAGAACACAAATACACACACACAGAGAGACAGAGACAGGGATATGTACATGAAAAAAAAAGGAGAGCAAGAGACCAAGACATATAAGCATCTATCTATTGTACAACGTGTTTATATATATGTATATATATAAATGAATGCATTCTGGGCGCCAATTATTAGCATAATTCGGGTGGGGGGGGGAAACAGAAGAAGCCGCACACACACACACACCAACACCAACACATTGTGAATATGGTTGGTGTACTTATTATACAAACAATCAAATATATAACAGAAACAAATGAGAGACATTTGAATTGAATACGAATACACTACACAATAATCAATCATCACCAATCAACAGCATCATCAATGTGTTTATGGTTTGGCCGCTGGGATCGACTACTCAAAAAATGTGCTATAATTAATTATGAGGCATAAGCACACACGCACGCACATACACACATATATATATGCACATTTATACATAAAAGACAAAGAGAGAATAGCAATGATTATTTAGCATTATTGTTGTTACTATTAATCTCTGTATATATATACATACACACGTACACACACGCACACTGAAATTTCAATTGTCCGGTATAGTGTTACAGACTACTACTGCTGCTCCTATTGCACTATCCACATTGTTTTGCTCGGACGATGATAAACCCTATATATGGATAGATAGATAGATGGATAGATAGGTATATGCACATGAATATGATAAAACAATAATTATGTTGATATACATATATATCTATCTCACAAGTACATACATGTCGTCTTCTTGACCGGTTCACTTAAAAGTTGCAAGGTTTTCTCTATGGCAGTGTTTTTTTTTGGTTTAGTTTTCTGTCATTTAACTGCTTGTTTGATGTTCGCTTAGAGTATTTTATCAAGTGATTCATCTTAGTCTACGAGGACATGAACATTATTGATACAAAAAAGGGCACATAGATATTTATGCGCTACACAAATCAATGAGATAGGCGAGATATCCGTTTGCTGACTAAAGGACAAGTGTACTGCGCAGTAGTTCGCTCCGTCTTACTTTATGGCTAAGAAACATGGCCATTGAGAGTAGAAGATATTCGTCGGTTATTGGTTTTCGATCATAGGTGTATCCGAAGCATTGCTCGTATATCGTGGGACACCCGAGTGAGCAACGCTGTTATTAGGAATCGGGTGCTAGGTAAGAATGGCAGACCAACAGATGAAGTAATGAAACTTCATCAGTTGAGGTGGTTGGGACATGTGTTGCGTATGCTGAACCACCGACTGCCTCGACGAACTTTGTTTTGTAGTGTAGGAATAGGTTGGAAGAAAGTTAGGGGTGGCCAAACCAAAAACATGGCATAAATCCATGAAGTCATTAACGAGTGGACTGAGCCATGTCGGTAATTGTCGACTACCTGGTTGGGGTCCGCGAGATGATAATAATCGATGGTTAGAGACCTTGAATGACATGGCTCTAAACCGTTTGCAATGGTGCCGGTGCATTTATTCTTTATGTCCTCTCAAATCCTAATCTTCTGGATTGGTCAATACCTCTACCTTTGTCTTTCTAAACTAATCTCACTGAATCATACTTCTTGAATAATATCTTGTAATCCTAACCTCTCCGATTACTTCTATTACCTTTACTACCTCTTCTACTATATGATTTGAATTGACAATTACATCTCTGTGCTGATGTGGTATGGCAACATGAACTGATGTACTTACGTACGAAGTTCTACGTTGCATCTGACTGACTGACATAAATCAATGAATTTGTGTGTGCGTGTGTATGTCCGAGGTACTACTGTTCGAGTAGCTGAACTGAAACAGGTGGTTTGATTAGCAGACTGACCATTCATTGAATATTTGACCTACAGGTCTAATCTACAAGATGTGTAGCAACAACACTGGGACATGCAACTCTATAGTAACCGGTGACCAATAATAGGTTCAGACGTGGTGTGAATGTGTACCAAAATCTTTAGATGAGGGTTTTTCTTTATTCCTCTATGGTTGGATACTCTGTACTAGCTAACCCGGTTTAAGCTCTTTCCGGATATTCGCTTTCCATTCTCTTAATGTTGTAAACAAACATCCTTGACACGGAAAGATAGTGAGTGGTACTTCCCTGATGGTGGCTATAAAAGCGTGACCATACAAGAGTAGACGGAGAAAAAAAGCCGCCTCTCTTGACTCTTCGCCGTACTAAGGCATTTGGGGATGAGACCCAACTTTATATGTCCAATAAGTAAGTAAAACTAAAGTTTTCACAGGATATATGACAACATATCATTCTTATTCACCACCAGCTTTCTTTCTAAAAAACTTTTCAATCTTCGGTTTATTACCCTTTTCTTTTCGATTACTTAAAATGTCACTGAAAGTTGTCAGAAGTCACAGTGTTATTCATCTACTGTTCTATCATTGTCACCAATGATGATGACAAGATTTCTTGAAAAAGTAAGAAGTTTGTGTCCTGAGGTTGTATCAATCAATACAGTGAATTACACAAACAATGTAGTATGTGACCCAAAGCCAAGTACACTTATTGTTAACAAGTAAGTTACTCGAATCAGAGTTATGCGATAGGACTACTACATACAAGTTTTTCGTGAAGAAGATTAGCAGAGATTATATTATTGTCATAGACAAAAACAGGAACCGGGAAGTACTATAAGGACGTCACTAGTGTGCATCCAAGACCACCGCGCATGCAGGAATCGAACCAAGAAGTTTCAACCGTCCAGTTCTTTTAGGTTTCGTTATCTTAACTATGAAACTAAATAAAACTTCGTCTTCATAACTTTGTCAGTACGTACCTACATAAGCTCCAGTTGTCATACCACATTAGCACAGAGACGCAATTGTCACTACAAATCCCATAGTAGTAGAAGTATTAGCAGTAATCGGCGAGATTAGGGTTCGACGATATTATTTAAGAAGTAGAATCTAGTGAAAGAAACTTTAGAAGAAAAAGATAAAGGTGACGTAGAACTCAGAAGGTTAGGGATTTGAGTCACATATAGTTGAATCCATGCACTCTTGATTTAAGTCCCAGTAATGTTATCCGATTGTTTAAGCCAATATTATACAAATTGGAGCTCAGATACCAACCTGTAACTCTGACCACTAGGAAGGTTAAATGCTTGAAACTACTGAACCAACGCTTACTGACTATTCCGACAGTTATTATACTACTACTACCACTACTATCCATAGTTGTCTCAAACCAAATTACACAGAAAAATCTATGAAACCATTAGTTAAACAAACATGAAAAGAAAATCATTCGTTAATTAATTAAACACAATCCAACCGCGTAGAGGAAGGAACCAACAAATCACAGAAAATTTTCAACAACAATTAAAAAGGCAAACATACTGAATGATTCTCATGAATTGTTGAATGCTTTTCATCATCAATTTGTGACAAGCATTCCTCCACTTCTTCTTCTCCTTCAATTTGATGATCTTTTAATTTGTCCACTGTTGTTGTTGTTGTTGGTGGTGGTGTTGTAGGAGTGGACGGTTTTACGTCACCATCACCACCATTTGTAAGAATTACTACTTCATGATTATTGACACATAATTCTTCTGATAGTAGTACAGTGGCGATAGAAGAAATCTGTTTCGATTGTTGTGTAGCCGTTTGGAAATCATTCAACAAATTGGTTAATTGTAATAAAGTCTCTTGTCTATCTTCATCCGATAAGAGATTACCCCAACTGGTACTTTTTGATTCAAATGTACGTGGAAAGTGTATACGTGGCCTGCCTCGTTTACCGCCACGACCACGACCTCGAGTTGCAGCTCCAGATTGGATCAACGATGTGGTTGTTGTTGTTGTTGATAAGGATAATGTGGAAGCATGTGGTGGTAGCATGGAATTCACAGGTGGTTGATTGATGATTAGATTGGATGGCTCTAATCTACGCCGATTATACACTAGTCTAGATGAGATCCCGCGTAAATAACGCTGTGTAAATTGAAATGAAATGAAAAGAATGCCGATAGGATCCAAAATAAATAGGTTGTATATTGGTAAAAAAAAACACTGAGAGATAATGTGATACGACATGTATGTGGATAAGAGTTTCCAATCGGGGACTATTCTACTCAGTGGCTGGCTCTAAGGTGAACGTCATAACCACTAGACACCATTGATGAGTAAAGTAAAGAGTCTGTAGGATTTAATTTTGTCCTACAGATGTAATTCTAAAAACGTAAACGCAAATACCGCCGATGACAGAATCCAGAGTGAAACTATAGTTAACAGAAGACAATTTGGTTTTTAAACTTTATCTGTTTCTAAACAAAAAGAAAACGATTAGATTAGTACAATAAATAAGGAAATTACAATTATCAAGCAAGGATGAGCAAACGTACCGGACAGTATAGTGTGTCTTTAGAAAATAAATAAAAAAAACATGAGTCACAGCAATATAAATAAAATACTAACATCCTTCAATCGATGGACCATTCACAACAAAGAAAGTTCATACATCAGTCAGACTAGATGATGTGGTGAGCGCTTAACCAATCTGATTGGTTAGTTATGACATAACTACAATTAGTTATAAAATAACTGACAGAGTCAACAACCACAACAACATAGAACTTCGAAAGTATGCACATCAGTTCAAGCGACCATACCATATAAGCACACAGAGATGAAATGGTCACTTCAAATCCAATAGTAGTAGAGGTAGTAAAAGTATTAGCAGTAATCGGGGAGAGATTAGGGTCCGATGATATTATTAAAGAAGTAGAATTCAGTGAGATAACTAACTTTAGAACGAGAAAGATAGCAATGATGAGAAATTCAGAAGGTTAGAATTTAAGAGAACACAAAGAATGAATGCACCTGCACCATTACAAACGGTTTCGAGCCATGTCATTCAGGGCCTCTAACTATTGATTACTATCATCTCGCGGGCCCTGACCAGGTGTCAGTCTGTCAGTTGCAACGTAGAACTTCGTACGTAAGTACATCAGTTCATGTCGCCATACCACATCAGTACAGAGATGTAATTGTCAATTCAAATCCAATAGTAGAAGAGGTAGTAAAGGTATTAGAAGTAATCGGAGGGGTTAGAATTAGAAGATATTATTCACGAAGTATGATTCAATGAGATAAGTTTAGAAAGTCAAAACTAGAGGTGTTGAAGAACCAGGTGTGGTTGACACCTATCAACATGGCTCAAGTCCAGTTATCAATGACTTCATGGATTCCTGCCATGTTTAATTTTAGCCACCTCTAGCTTTCTTCCAACCTATTCCTACATCGCAAAGCATAGCTCGACAAGGAAGTCAGTGGTTAGGCATACGTAACACATGTTCCCAAACACCACTGATGAAGCCGTATAAGAATCGATCATCTTACGCAATTCACCTTGATCTTCGCATTATTTCTTCGGATCTTAAGTCACGATCAAAAACTTCGCAACATTCAATTTGATTTGTCTACTTTGCACCGATGTATATATCTTGAGTTCAAACATAAGAAATGACTGATAAAACCTAATAGTATGAATACAATTATTCTTAAAACTGCGAAGTGCCTACAATTCCTCATGATAAAGACTCACTTGTATTCTATAATCGAATAACAATGACTGACATTAGAACTAAATGACAGAGAAATAGAAGGTATGTGAACCGGTCGTTTTGTTTTAATGTGGGGCTGGTTCATCAGAAGTGTGCATCCACGACCCTCACTCACGTGAATCAAACCCAAGAGAACCTTTGGTCTGGTGCGCGCAAAACGCCTAATCTCTTGACCACTGTGTAATGAGCCGGCATTCAACAATGTTAAGAATATAAGAACATTGTTATGGCTGTAAGTAACCATGACAATCAACAACGCGTATTCAACAGCCAAAATCAATATAAAATGAATTTTTATTAAAAAAGGCGAAACCAAAATATAAACCCCCATCTAAAGAAGTAAGATCATTTACATGAATAGAAGATGGGGGCTGAGAAAAAATAATCTTACATGTGCTCTGGAAATGGCATACAACGCAGCATGACCTTGTCGTTTCGGCGGTCTTCCACGTGGTCTTTTCATAATAAAACCATTCGAGAGTTGTGTATTGAAAATACCACCACGTCCATTGTAAATTGTAAAGCCTCCGATTGTTTTTCTTGGTCTACCTCTACCTCGTCCTCTTCCTCGACGTCCAGTGGTGTTAGTGCTAAGACGTGATCGTTTACTAGTATGAGCATAGGAATAACAACATTTACACGATGTTTCATTCTCTGCAGTCCAACACGATCTAGACGAATGATGATAACGTCGACGATAACCAAAAAGTGGTGATCTTACAAAAGGAGTATTGGTATTGATCATCATATGATTGATGTCAAATTTAATATCCATTTTTTCATCAGGATCATTATTGCCACCACTGCCACCATCAATACTACTATTATTATGATTATCAGTAGTAGTAGTAGTATGATGACGACGTGATAAAATTTTAGTTGTATGCTCTGTGGAACGTGTTAAAATGACACGACGATATTGTTTACCATTGGCTATGTTACAATTTAATAAACGATTCAATTGTACTTTACCAAATAAATAACTAGCTAATTTAGTACTGAAACTAGAAAAATTCGATTGAGCATGTAAACGTAAAATTTCCAAATCACGTATAACACATGGATCAGGTAGGCTGGTGGATTTCGATTTCATAAGATACGGTAACAATTCAATAGCTCGTGCAATACCAGTTTGTAAAGCACCATGAGTACATTCCTGTAAGAAAAAATGATAGAAAGGAGAAAAAAAAGAAACAGTCTGTTTATAGTTAGTTGTTGTTGTTGCTGATTTAGTAACATAAATAACCTCAGTGTGGCGGAAACTTGGAGTACTACCATGCAAGCCACAAGATCCACAAGTGTTTGTTAATAGTTATCAGCGCAAATATACTTCGGATCGGTCGGCCAGACACTATTACCAACAACTTACTGTGGTAGAGAACAAACCATATTTCAGTGGAGGAAGAAACGGTGGAAGTAAAACAGGACATACATTGAGGCAAATACCTAACACCATCACGATCCCCATGGTCAAGGGAAAAAGAGGAAGACCAAAGGAACACATTACGCCAAGAACTGGAGACTGGCATGAGTAAGTAGAATTGACACCAATTGGATAGAACTGGAAACGAAGGTCCAGGACAGAGTAGGGTTGGAGAATGCTGATCCACGACCTATGCTTCACTGGAGATAACAGGCCTGAGTAAAAGTAAGCACAAGACTGAATTTGGTTAACTTACGTTGTGGTATATTAGCTGGAATAGATTTATATCGATCCGAAACGACACTACATCTAGTAACTTAGTTTGTTACACGACTACTGAATGGAGTAAACACCTTCAACTGCAACTAAGCCTTCAAGAGTGCTCGCTCACCACCTAGCATACGTGGATCGAAACAAGGAACTTCAGTCTCGTACTCGAACTCTTTAGATCTAAACCATTAACCCTACATCCTACACCTTCGGAGGCCGGCTCAAAGGGTGAGGAGAGATGAAGTGTTCGTGTGCGAGGCTCAAGGTCCTGAATTCGATTCCCACGTTAAGTGGCGTGGATACATATACTGCTAAGGAATTCCATACTAGGACGATACACGGCCACTCGACGCTTTCAGGCTTACGACGGTTCATAACTTCCAATGAAATGCAATCGATATCTACTGGAATATCGATTAGGAAGTTGTAAAGTGTCTAGATTTTATGTGTATTAATTTTCGATAACACGATATAGTTTTAAAAATCTTGTAGAAAGCTAAAAGATCATTCAATCAATTGAAACTCCAATTTCACTTATCCAGTAAGATTAATTAAAAGTTACAAACATTGAGTTATTTTTTTGTCAGTCACGTATATAATTGAGTTATGAAATACGTAATGTACGAAATTAATAGTACAGAGTTTTTTCGTTAAAGCATAATTTTTTCTAATATCTTATCAAATTCAAATTCAACGGATTCGTCATTAACTCTATCATTCTCTTTTTAAATTTATTTCACTGAATTATACCTCTTGAATAATATCTTCAAACCCTCATCTTCTCAATTGCCTCTCCTACTTCTACTACTGTAGTGAACGAGAACACAGGTGGGGCAACCGAATTGTATTTAACGGAAATTACAGAGTTACTCAGTAAAATCGGAAAACCATATCGTAAATCGTTAATTTGCAAAATATCAGTCCAACCTATCGAACTGAACTGTTCCTGTTGCAAGACATCAATCCATTGTCACTATTCATGCGCTTCATGCAAATTCCATTGTTTTCTAACTCTTCCTTTCTTGATCTCTCCCCATCTTCCGCTGCCAGATATTACGTTGACACTCACGTCATATACTACTTATAAGTAGTTCATACCACACTACCTCTAATACTATGGGATGTGAATTGACAATTGCATCTTTGTGTTAATGTGGTTTGGCAACCTGAACTGATGTATGTACGTAGGAAGTTCTACGTTGTTGACGAATGATTGAACTGCGACGTTCCAATAATTATCGCTGAACATATTGAGTAATTACAGATTAAAATATATGTAAACACTTGCGGTATAAGAGACATACCATAAAGTAAATTGTAAGATAACTCAGTCAATCAACAACAACGTAGAACTTGGTACATACGTACATCAATTCAAGTTACCATAACACCATACTAGCACAGAGAGAGAGAGATCGAATGGTCAATTCAAATCCCATAGTGGTGGAGGTTGTAGCAGTATTAGCGGTCATGAGGAATTCAGAACACTAGAATTTGAGAGAACGCAAAGAGAATAGATGAATCAGAGCAACTGCCTGTTAGGGACCTTAGATCCCCAGAACTCACTTGAAAAAGGTCCTAATTTTGGATTTTATGTTTTAGCGCATAAGTTGCTCAGATGACCTTGGGATTACATTTCCCACCCAGAAAATCCTTCACTGTTATTGGTTGATATATTATTTTAGCACGTTCCTTTGTGGCTCTCTCAAGGGCGTTTCTATGATGTATAATAAATAAACTTGATTTTCGTGCTTGAAAAACCTCATATTTTCTGGGTGCTTGTAGAATACACATTCTACGTCTTTTCTAGACTTCTTCCTCTACTTAGTGTGGCCTTGAGACGCTCGGATTAGGCTAGCCTATCATGTCACTGGATCCCTTGTCTTCGCTCTCGTTTACTGACTAAGGTGAACTTGTAATAGCATTCAAGCATACCGATTGACGAGCATAACACTGCCACGTCATTCAAAGTCGCTAACCATCGATTACAATAGCCCCGCCGACCCCGGAGCCAGGTAGATAGTCTACACTGACTAACATGACTCAAGTGCAGTTGTCAAATAACTGACTTTATCGATCGGTGGCATACGTCTCAGTTTGTAAATAACTTATAAAACTGAGCATTACTAATATTTATATGTTGTATATTTATATTTATCTTTACAGAGTTAGTTGTTCATTTCATAAGAAGAAAATTCATCCAAACACGGGGACGATCAATTATGCATTGATTTATTGATTGGTTGACTGACTGACTGATTGATTGATGATGATGAATAAGAAATTTAACAGAAAGCAAAAAACCATGATCACAACTCGACTATTTGAAAACTGGATAAATTACAATTTGCTGGATACTACTTAACAGAAGATCAATAATCAGATAATCTATACATAAGTGTGTGTTATTTGGACATTGTAAATGACAATCATTTCTAGTAATGAGAAGACTGAGGCAGGCACGGAAGATTGTATTATGCAAATTTACACTCTTAGTCAATTAAAAACGAAAACATTACATTGAACACTCTATTTGCACACCATCTTCGATTCCTGACTTCCAACGCTCCATCCTTCTTCCATTCCTGTTGTTGCTTCCTTTCCTTCCTGTTGGTACTCCATTTACTTCTTGCCTTTGCTCCATTTGCTTTCCGTTTTCCTCTTCTGACCGTGAGACTTCTTCTTTCACGTCCCTTCTTATACTACTTATATCGTTCGTATAAGTAGCACACACCACAGTAATAGTTTATGGATACATACATTTTCTATTTATCAAATGTTTCGTGACGCAGTTGGGCACTTTCCTCAATGTGTGTCCTATCCACACTTTCAGCGCTTCTTCCTGATTGCTGCTTCAGATGGAGGAATCTGCTTTGTTTGCCCAACAGTAGGTTGTTACTGATAGTGTCTGACCAACGGATCCGAAGTACTTTGAATAGATAACTGTTAATAAACACTTTTATCTTCTGGATGATGGCTTTCGTGGTTCTCCAAGTTTCCGCTCCATATAGTAGAACTATCTTGACATTTGTATTGAGTTCCAAACGTTCTCCAATGCTGCTTTTGCTTTGCCGATCCACATATTCACATCTGGCATCAGATCCACCTTCCTGATGCTGGCCCAGGTAGGTACGTAAAGGTTTCTTCATCTAACAAAACTACTCTGTCCAGTGTGATTTGGTTTGTGCATGTTGTGTTTTGGTATCGGAGAATCTTGCTTTTCCCTTTGCGTATGTTGTTGTATGTGCGTTGGAATAAACAGATCATCATCTGAGAAGTCTAGATCATTCATCAGCTGCTGCCTAGCTATCCACTGTACCGTGTGCTTCCTGCCATATGTTGACATCCTCATCAATTTGTTGTATGTACGTTTGAATTAAATAAATTTGAAATAATACACTTCTGTTTTAACGTGTTGCATGCAAAACTATTATTGTCAACTCATCTGAATGTTCTTCAATTCTCTCAATTAAAAATTTCTAAGCTCAAGGCCATACATATTCCATTCATAATAGTTGGTTGACCTTGGATAGAAAAAACATTATTTACACTGACAACACAAACACACAAACTCAACAATCATAATAACAAAATGGTATAGCACTCAAAAACATGAAGTACATTTTCAACACTTAGAAAAACAACATTTAACTTATTAAAAAGTGTAAACAACAAATTCATTATTTACCTTAGCTTCTTTAGCTGTCAATGTTCCTTCACCAGCGAACAGTAGACGTGGAATCCGTAACTCATTATCAGTAGTAATAGTAGTAGCAGTAGCAGCAGTAGTAAGGCTCAATTGATTATTGCCACTGACATTATTATCGTCACAAACAAACACATCTTCGTCTAGTTTAATTTTCCATTGATTTTTCGCATCCAAACCAGTTAGACTTATTGCATAGATTGATCGATCAACATCAGAGCTGCCCGGTTCACCGGTAGTATAAGCACCTAGTGCGAAAGGATCTTCAGACCAACGTGTCACTAAATAATATACTGGATTGGGAATTTTACGACCGACTAGTTGAGAATCCGAATTGATTTTTGCACTGTACATGAGGTCGAGTAAATCTAATATAATATCAACAATTTCTTTATCTGATCGACCAGCTGAATTAAGACCAGATCCACCCCACAAATGAGCACATAAAACACCAGGTTTACCTGTGAATTGAATAAACGGAGGTATATTTGTTTAAAAAATGCATACGATTTATGTAAGATTTATTTATATAAGCCACAACTTTCAGGGAATGCTTCACGAAATTAGTTATTGATGATGAGCAGATGGTGAATGAGCACATTGTCGAGAAACAACTGAAGTTTGGAAAAAATTTGAACTAATAAATTCGGAACCAGTGATCCAAAGACAACACTTACTGCAAGACCTGAGGAATCTCATTAACCTGTGACTGACTAGCTATTAAGTGTACAACACACTGAGAGATAACACAAAAAATGATATCGTCGAATCTTATATCTCTCCGATCACTTGCTAATAAACTCCGCCAGTAGAACCTTAGGGGCTACTGCCGGTCCCAAGCCTGGGTAAAGGAGGAGGGTTGGACATGGGGTTGGCGACCCCATTCCGTCAAAAACTAACTTGCCAAAACAACGCTAACCAGAAAAAATAATTCAAACCATTTTAAATCTGCCCTGGGAGTTGGAGGAAGAATTATGACGTCGCGTGATGAAAGCCGAGTTCCCTCGGAAGTCACGGGGCCGATGCCTCTTCTGACAACCAGAGCAACCATTTTTTTAGGTACATGGAACGTTCGTACATTGTGGGAGACTGGAAGACTATTTCAAGTTGTGGCAGAAATGAAACGATACAACCTCGAGGTGCTTGGAATCAGTGAAACACATTGGACACAGGTAGGACAACTGGGACTTGCTTCAGGGGAACTGCTGTTATACTCTGGTCATGAAGAGGAAAATGCTTCACATACACAAGGAGTTGCACTGATGCTGTCCAAACATGCACAAAAGGCACTAATAGGATGGGAATCTCATGGACCGAGGATCATTAAAGCATCCTTCAAAACAAAGAAAGTGGACATTACAATGAACGTCATCCAATGTTATGCACCTACCAATGACTACAATGACGACGTTAAAGATCAATTCTACGAAAGGCTGCAGTCAATCGTCGAGAAATGTTCACCAAAGGATTTGACGATTCTTATGAGAGACCTGAATGCCAAGGTTGGCATGGATAACACTGGAAGTGAAGACATCATGAGACGACATGACTGGGAGAAAGGAACGAAAACGGTGAGCGATTTGCCTTCAACAAACTGGTCATCGGTGGCACAATATTCCCACCTAAACGCATACACAAAGCCACATGGATTTCACCGGACCACACTACTCAAAACCAAATCGACCATATCTGTATCAACAAAAAGTTCAGAAGGACTACGGAGGTTGTGAGAATCAAGAGAGGAGCTGATATAGCATCAGATCACCACTTGCTGGTGGCTAAAATAAAACTGAAACTCAAGAAGCACTGGACAACGGGGCAGACAACATCACACAAGTTTAATACGGCATTTCTTCGGGACACCGTAAAGCTCAACGAATTCAGGATAGCCCTCACTAATAGGTTCCAGGCCTTTCAGGATCTACTCGATGGAGAGAACGCAACATTGGAAACAATTGGAAAGGGATTAATGAGGCAATCACTTCAACATGTCACGAAGTTCTGGGTCACAAGAAGTACCATCATAAGGAATGGATCTCTGTTGGTACTCTTGAAAAAATTCAAGAAAGGAGGAACAAGAAGGCAGCAATCAATGTCAGCCGAACAAGAGCAGAGAAAGTTACCGCACAAGCTGCATACACAGAAGCCAGTAGGGAAGTGAAGAAGAGCATCAGAGCTGACAAACGAAAATATGTGGAAGATCTAGCAATGACGGCGGAAAAGGCTGCAAGAGAAGGAAACTTAAGACAATTGTATGAAACAACAAAGAAGCTCGCCGGTAAATATCGTAAACCAGAACGACCAGTGAAAAGCAAGGAAGGCAAATTAATCAGCAACACTGAACAACAGCGAAATAGGTGGGTAGAGCACTTTAAGGAACTCCTAAATCGACCAGCTCCACTGAACCCACCCAACATCAAGGCAGCATCCACGGACCTCCCAATTAATATTGACGCACCTACAATTGAGGAGATCAGTATGGCCATCAGACAAATCAAGAACGACAAAGCAGCAGGACCAGACAACATTCTAGCAGAGGCAATGAAAGCAGATGTAGGAGCAACTGCGAAAATATTTCACATCCTCTTCAAGAAGATTTGGGATGAGGAACAAGTACCATCAGATTGGAAAGAAGGATACCTCATCAAAATACCAAAGAAAGGCGATCTCAGCAAGTGTGAGAACTTCAGAGGCATCACTCTTCTTTCAATACCAGGCAAAGTCTTCAACAGGGCATTGTTAAACAGAATGACGGACTTCGTAGACGCCCAACTTCGAGATCAACAGGCTGGATTTCGTAAGGATCGATCATGTACTGACCAAATTGCTACATTACGGATCATTGTGGAACAATCAATTGAATGGAACTCACCACTCTACATCAACTTCATCGACTACGAGAAAGCATTTGATTGTGTGGATAGGAAAACACTGTTGAGGCTTCTTCGACACTACGGTGTGCCTGAGATGATAGTTAACATCATGCGGAATTCTTATGATGGGTTCAACTGCAAAATCGTACACGAAGGACAGCTAACAGACTCTTTCGAGGTGAAGACCGGTGTCAGGCAAGGTTGCTGCTTACTCTCAACCTTTCTCTTTCTCCTTCTGGTGATCGACTGAATAATGAAAACGTCAACATCTAGAGGGAAGCACGGTATCAACTGGACAGTTAGGACGCAGCTGGAGGATCTGGACTTCGCAGACGATCTGGCTCTTCTATCGCACACGCAACAACAAATGCAAGAGAAGACGACCAGTGTAGCAGCAGCCTCTGCAGCAGTAGGTCTCAACATACATAAAGGAAAAAGCTAAATTCTCCGATGCAACACAACATGCACAAACCAAATCACGCTTGATGGAGATGCCTTGGAGGACGTTCACACCTTTACATATCTTGGCAGCATCATCGACAATCAAGGTGGATCCGATGCAGATGTGAGTGCGCGAATTGGCAAACCAAGAGCTGCATTTCTACAGTTGAAAAATATCTGCAACTCCAAACAACTTTCAACCAAAACCAAAATCAGCATTTTCAATACAAATGTCAAGACAGTTCTACTGTATGGAGCGGACACATGGAGAACTACCAAAGCCATCATGCAAAAGATACAAGTGTTTATTAACAGTTGTCTACGCAAAATACTTCGTATTCGTTGGCCAGACACCATCAGCAACAACGTACTGTGGGAGAGGACGAACCAGATTCCAGTGGAGGAGGAAATAAGGAAGAAGTGGTGGAAGTGGATAGGACAAACACTACGAAAAGCACCTAACTGCGTCACGAGACAAGCCCTCACATGGAACCCTCAAGGCAAAAGGAAAAGAGGAAGGCCATGGAACACATCACGCTGAGAAATAGAGAAAGATATGAGAGGAATGAACAAACATTGGACAGAATTGGAGAGTGAAGCCCAGGACAGAGTTGGTTGGAGAAAACTGGTGAGCGGCCTATGTTTCTCTGTTGGGGGTAACAGGCGTAAGTAAGTAAGTAAGTACTTGCTAATACTTCTACTACCTCCACTACCATGGGATTTGAATTGACAATTGTGTCTCTGTGCTAATGTGGCATGGCAACGTGGACTGATATACGTACGTACGAAGTTCGACGTTGTAACTGACTGACTGTACGCCACTGAACAGTCCCAAATTGGAATGAAATAACTCCTCGTTGTTCATTGATTTCCAATATAGAAAACTGAGTATTAAAAATAGAATTTAAAAAAAATACATTGGTGTCTTAAACTGAAATAAAAAAAAATTCCACTTACCATAACGATGTAAATTTAATATATGTAAACGGGGATCAGGACATTTAAGATGAGCTGCACTTGTATCCCAAAATACATCTTCAGGATATTTAAAGCGTAGAATTACTTTTTCATGTGTTGCTGAACCTTGACTAGGCATTCCTAAACGTTCAATAGCTTGACGTTTATTCAATGGTAATTCCGGAAAGAAAGTGATTGTTGACGATGCGCTAAGACCTAATGAAAGGTGATATAAATAAGGAAAGTGTTGAAGCGACGAATAAAACATTATTATTATTATAAACATGAAAAATTATGATGGCAACATCGTTGATGAGCACGGTCGATCTGATGTAGACGTGAACACATGGATCGGCAAAGCAAGGGCAGGATTCCTACAACACAGTCCTACTGTATGAAGCGAAAACCTGGAGAACTATGAAAGCGATCACCTACAACAAGAAACTAGTGTTTATTAACAGTAGTCTACGCAAAATACTGAGGATCCATTGTCCAGACAACAACCTAATGTGAGAGGGAACAAAATGAATCCCAGAGTAGGGAGAAATTAGGAAGAAGCACTGGAAGTGGATAGAACACACATTGAGGAAAGCACGCAACCAGCTGCCTCACAAGATAGGCCCTTACCTGGAATTATCAAGGTCAGTGGAAAAGAAGAAGGCATAGGAACACATTATGCTGAGAAATGGAAATACACATGAGAAGAATGTACAAAAAATGGACAGAACTAGAAAGGAAGGCCCAAGACAGAGTAGGTTGGAGAATACTGGTGGGCGGTCTATGCTTCATTGTGGGGTATTGATTCAATTAGATTTTTAGAGGCTGACAAAACGAAACTTGCATCCACAAATTCCAAGTATGATATAATTTGATGATAACACCTTGAGCCAGTCAAAACTGACCACCTTATGACTGGATTTTCTACTGAGAATTGATTGTAAGTTTGAATTAGTCCCTTCAATATACACGCACACAATCAAAGTAGTCTTTTTCTGTTTAGCTTTGTTATATTATCAGTTAGTTACAACGAAAAAATTCGTACGTAAGTACATCAGTTCATGTTGCCATACTACATTAGTACAGAGAAGAAAATGTCAAATCAAACCCGATAGTGATAAAAATAGTAGAGGTATTAATGGTAATGAAGAAGACTAGGGTTTGAAGATATTATTCAAGAAGTATAATTTAGTGAGATAAGGTTAGAAAGACAAATGTAGAGGTGCTGACCAATCCAGAAGATTAGGATTTGAGAGAGCTCAACAAATGGATGCACTTGCACCATTGCAAACGATTTTCAGCCATGTCGTTTAAGGTCTCTAACCATCGGTGACTTTCGTCTCGCTGACCCCAACCAGGTAGTCTACAGCTACCAACATGACTCTGCTCCACTAGCCCCTGACTTCATGGATTTGTGCCATGTTTTGGTTTGGTCGCCCCTAGCTTTCTTCCAACCTACTCCCTTACACTACAAAACATCGCTTATCGAGGTTGTTATATCATAAAAAGATTTATAAACAAACAAGGAAAATGTGTACAAATTCACAGGTACCTCCTCCTCCTACCTTGTATGACCAAAACATGTTAATACTAAAATAATTTTTTTAAAAAAATACTGTTTTTCTCAAACGAAACACACAACACACCTTTTAGTACACCAACTGGAACAGTAATAATACAATGTTTGGCTTCATATACTTGTTCTTCATACAAATCTTGTGCTAAAGCATCGCCATCATCATCATTATTATTATTATTATGATCACCATTCTGAGTCGGTTGAGATTGGCGTTTCACTTTAGCTTTGATGATAATTTTACTGTTTTGTGCAGTAGTACTAGTAGTAGTGGTATCAGTAGTATCGTTAGCAGAAGTAGTAGTAGTAGTGGTACTTGTGTGAATATCACCAGTTCTACTCCAATCAATTTCTGTCACTACAGCATTATAAATAATATTGACACCTTTAAGCAACGGATTCAACAGATCACTAAATCGACTAGTCACTAAACGATCCTCCCAACTAACACAGACAGTTTTCGCAATGGATGGTAATGAAGCTTTATCATTCCGTTCTAAAGCGTCCAACTTACGCTCGGCCCATGTATGATATGCTCTACGTTGTTCCATTGTTGGATATGACTGGACAAGTTGAGCTAATACAGATGATGATGATGATGATTGATTTAACACCGGATTCGAATGTCCTGTATTGAGGCTGGATTTTGCACCGATTATATTAGATTGCCATTTAGAATCGGCCACTTCGCATAAATCATCTAAAACGCATAATGGTAAACGTTCGATAGGATTTACATAAGCTAAATAACGGCTAACTACAGAGAAAAAGATGCCTTTTTCAATTGGATCACGAAAATCCGCCGACGGACGAATACGAAACTGGGCTTCTGTATCAAATATATCTTGTAAAGCTTTATCAAAAAGTTCCTAAATTTGAATCGGAATAAATAAACAATAATAAACAGAAGAAGAAAATGTAACATTAAAGAAAAAAAAGAGTAAAATTTACAAATGAGAAATAATGATAAAACCAATGTTGAAAGAGTCAGCAAATATTTTAATGAACAAAAAGATTGGTGGGGGGGGGGGTTTATATTGTTTGATTTCGAAACTTAGCCTATCAGGGCAGATGTCGTTGGCCGTTCGTGCACACTATGGGTGTTTCTTGAAGAACCTGAAAAAAGGAATCGGATTAATGATGGTCTTAGAGATCTGGGAGCGTGATCACAGAGCTTATGGGACAACGACTTGAGGATGGGTCAGGCACGGCCATTTTACGGGAAGATTTTGACGTGTTATCTCCGCTCTTTAAATGGCTTTACCACCGGAGATCGAAATCCGTGGGACAAGGTGAGGAGTGACATTTTTATGGTCGACCTTTTTTCTAACCTTTCCTTCCTTGTGAGAAAGAAGGCAGCATCACTGCAGATGCTGGTTGTCCGAGGGAAACACCTTACTGCTGTCACACCCCTCTGCAGTCAGCAGTACGATTCACACTCAGATCTTGAGTAGCTGCCTTTAGTCTTACCGTTCTCCAATCGACTGGCCGGGCATGGTAGGACCTAACGTAAAATACGCACCAGCCAATATAGCTCGGTTGGGTCATCACAATAGGCAAGCCCGATCACCATCACATCAAGGTGGCAGCTACAGTCGGGGAACCTTAGCCTATGATTTTTCTCAGCGACTAAATGTGTCAGCAGACGTATACGTATATAATAAGGCGAATCGGAAAAGACGTGTATCCCGACAAGTTACAACACATTGCAACAACGCAAAAATGAAACAACATCAAACAAAGTAAGGCACAGTTTCTCCCGACCGTAGCTGCTACCTTGACGTGGTGGTCGGGCTTGCCTATCGTGATCATCCAACCGAGCTATATTGGCTGGAACATATGTTCCTGAAGGTCCTACCATGCCAGGCAGGTCGATTGGAGAACGATGAGACTAAAAGCAGCTACCCAAGGTCTGAGGGCGAAGTCGTACTGCTGACTAAAGAGAGGTGTGACAGCAGTAAGGTGTTTCCCTCGGATAACCAGCATCTGCAGCGATGATGCCTTCTCACAAGGAAGGAAGGGGTTAGTTAGAAAAGGTCGACCCTAAAAATGTCACACCTCCCCTAACTCACGGATTTCCGTCTCCGGCGGTAAGGGTGCCCACTAAGGGCCTTTAAGAACGGAGCTAATCCTCAAAATAGCTTTCATAAAAAGGCCGTGCGTGACCGGCCTCAAGCAGTTGTCTCTTGGGCTCTTCGATTACGCACCCAGGACGTTAAGACCAACACTAATCTATCTTCCTTTTCAGGTCCCTCAAGAAACAACCTTCCACGGTGTGGGCAGCCGGGAAGTGACAACCGCCCTCATACCCGTAACAGCACACGAGACCGAATTGGTCAAAATCAAATCCTTCCTACACCCCCTAATGTCTCTCTTATCTCTACGACTAACTCTACTCACACTCCCTTTTCTCACTGCACCGCTAATGCAGACGAAGCGAGATCACGAAACGTCATTCCTGGTCTCTTGAAACCCCGCTCTAGACTACATGTTGGAGCTTTTAATGTACGGACATTGTGTCAAATAGGGCAACAGGCATCATTAGCTAGGACTTTAGAAACTCGTGCCATCGATGTATGCTGCGTCTCGGAAACGCGCATACAGGATCCTAGTAAAGTCATTAACCTGATTCCACCTTGTCAAAACAAAGAAGCAGCCCGATTCACTCGTCGTGTATCCAGTAGCACCGATGCTGCTTCCCGGGGTCTTGCTGGCGTAGGCATAGCATTGAGTCCTAGGGCAAAATTATCTCTCCTAGACTGGATCCCAGTAGATAGTCGCTCGTGCGCTGTCCGACTAAACGGGACAGTAAGGACTCGGAAGGATAGGGACACTCGCCGTTGCCTCTTCGTCATATCTGCCTATGCCCCCACTGAATGCAGTGCAGATGAGGTTAAAGATGAGTTTCACAGAAAGCTTTCGGACCTCCTCCAAAAAGCTAGGCGCTCTGATATAGTAATAATGGCTGGTGACTTTAATGCTCAAGTAGGTAGACTAGGTGAAAAGGAAAGACACCTTGGTGGATGTTATAGTGTCACGGCTCAGAGAAAAGACAATGGTGACCGTCTGTTGCAAGCATGCTCAGACAACCGCCTATTCTTAGCAAACACTAACTTTAGGCATAAGGAAAAGCATCTGTTGACCTGGCGACCTCCAAAGTCGTCTCAACGTTGGACTCAACTAGATCACATCGCTATCAACCACCGATGGAGGGGTTCGATAGAGGACTGTCGCTCGTTCTGGAGCACATGTCTAGATTCAGATCATGCCCTAGTGCGAGCGCGTATTTGTTTGAAGCTTACTGGGCGTAGGAAAGACACCGTAAGAAAGCCTCTTAGGGTTTTACTTAATGACAATAAGGCGAAAAATATATTTCAGGAACAACTAGAAAGACAGTTAGGCGACCATTTAAGCGATTCCCATCCGGAAGCAGGATGGAATGATATCAAGAAGGCTGTGGAAACAGCAGTGATATCTGCTAGTAAGGTAAACCATAAGTCTAGGATGAAGCCGTGGATATCAGTAGCATCCACCGATCTGATGGATGCCCGAAAACTCATCCCACCTGGCTCTGAACATGATGAAGAACGAAGTCAACTTAGGCGCAGACTTATAAAAAGTCTACGTAACGATCGCAAACAGTGGTGGGTGGCGAAAGCAAAAGCGATGGAAAAGGCAGCGGCGATAGGCAACAGTAGACAACTTTTCCGACTTATCAAGGAAACTGGTATTAGGAATCCTAGTGTAAGTGAGAATGTCTCGGAAAAGGATGGTCTTATCATCCATTCTCAATCCAGAAGACTGGATCGATGGGCAGAACACTTCAGGGATCAGGTCAACTGGCCTCGAGCCACTCTTCAGTTACCCACGATCTCCAGTCATCCTGAATGGCAAATCGACCTAAGTCCCCCTAGTCTTAATGACGTTGAGAAAGCGTTAGGAAATCTGAAGAGTGGACGAGCTGCAGGTCCTGATAGACTGACCCCTGAGATATTTAAGGATGGTCTCAATCACTGATTGTCCCAATCTATAAGAAAGGACAGAAGTCTTCTTGTGACAATCACAGAGGAATAAGTCTAACTAATATAGTATCTAAAATATTGGCCTCAATAATACTTCGACGTTTAACGAAAGCTCGTGAAGAGCAGACTAGAGAAAACCAGTCTGGTTTTCGACCTGGACGTGGTTGTATAGACCACATTTTCACACTACGACAGGTCCTGGAACATAGACACACATTTAGGCGTCCTACAATAGTTGTTTTCCTGGACCTTAAGGCGGCATTTGACTCAGTGGATCGTGAGGTTCTGTGGCAGTGTCTGTCATTGAAAGGTGTACCAAACAAGTACATTAACCTTATACAAGCTCTCTACTCTAAAACTACTGGTCAGGTGAGAGCTTATGGCGAACTGTCATCGGAATTTTTCACTTCAAGTGGTGTCCGTCAGGGATGTCCACTTTCTCCATTCTTGTTTAATTTTATCATAGACATGCTCCTAGAAATAACCTTATCCTCGTGTGAATTTTCAGGAGTAGACCTTTTACCAGGTGGCTCGCTTATTGACTTGGAATATGCCGATGACATAGTCCTACTTGGTGAAGACGCTGACAAAATGCAGAGTCTTCTGATCACCCTAAGCAACAATGCAAGCACGTTCGGGATGCGGTTTTCCCCGTCAAAATGCAAAATGTTGCTTCAAGATTGGGTTTCATCGGCACCTGAACTAGTGATAGGGAGTGAAGTAGTCGAACGTGTAGACCGCTTCACTTATCTCGGGAGTCTCATCAGTGCTGATGGCCTGGTGACTGACGAAATCTCAGCACGGATACAGAAGGTTCGATTAGCTTTTGCCAACCTGCGTCACTTATGGTGAAGGCGAGATATCCGTTTGCTGAATAAAGGACGAGTGTACTGCTCAGTAGTTCGCTCCGTCTTACTTTATGGCTGTGAAACATGGCCAGTGAGAGTAGAAGATATTCGTAGGTTATTGGTTTCCGATCATAGGTGTATCCGAAGCATTGCTCGTATATCGTGGGACACCCGAGTGAGAAAGGCTGTTTTTAGGACACGGGTGCTAGGTAAGAATGGCAGAACAATAGATGAAGTAATGAAACTTCATCAGTTGAGGTGGTTGGGACATGTGTTACGTATGCCTAACCACCGACTGCCTCGAAGAGCTTTGTTTTGTAGTGTAGGAATATGTTGGAAGAAAGTTAGGGGCGGCCAAACCAAAACATGGCACAAATCCATGAAGTCATTGACAAGTGGACTGAGCCATGCCGGTAGTTGTCGACTACCTGGTTGAGGTCCGCGAGATAATAATAATCGATGGTTAGATACCCTGAATGACATGGCTCAAAACCGTTCGCAATAGCGCACGTGTATCAACTGTTTGTGTTCTCACAAATCCTAATCTTCTGGATTCTTCAACCCCTCTAGTTTTGACTTTCTAAACTTTTCTCATATAATCACACTTCTTGAATATTATCTTCTAATCCTAACCTCTCCGATTATTTCTAATACCTTTACTACCTCTTCACCTATTGGATTTGAATTGACAATTACATCTCTGTGCTGATGTGGTATGGCAACATGAACTGATGTACTTACGTACGAAGTTCTACGTTGCATCTGACTGACTCTGACTGACAGTTGATCAATGATTTATATTCCCATCCGTACATGTGTGTACAAAACTAGTCAGACTCGAAAAATATATAATCAATAATTTATTACAGAGAGTAAGCGACAAGATACATTTTTCTAACTCTAACTTCCAGAAAAAAAAGGGAGAGCACATATCATAACTTGTCGCAAATCATCAAAGTTATCTAGTTCACAATGTCGAGTTCTATCTGACTATAACATCAATTTTCGAGATCTAAGCTGCTATCAAGTTAATTTATTGTCATGAACAGGTTGTGCGTATTGTTCAGTTCCTTGGAAAGCAAAAAACCGATCCATGTAAGACTTATCATCAGGAAAGCTGAAAGTACTGACTGGCCACTTCGTCTTAGTATGGGACTCACTAGCAGTGTGCATTCACGATCCCACAACAGGGGATCAAGCATAGGACCTTTGGTCTGATGCATGAAGGCTTAGCATCTGAATCACTGAGCCAGCATCCAATAGTGCTATATATATATATACCAATAATGCGGCGAAATTGTCTCGAAGTAGCAGAGTTAAACATAAGATATGATTGCGGACATAAGATGCCAATGCTCTGGGCTTAAATATTACCCTGTATTTAATCAATCACACATTAGATATGATCGACTACTTTTAAATATACAATAAATAACTTTGATCGTATTATAAAGTGGATAAGTCAAATAACAACCTATCATAGTTTATGATTATTAAATTATTACAATGTTGAATTATTTTTTTCTGGTCAGCGTTTTTTTTTTAGTGAGTTAGTTTTCTACGGGATGAGGTCGCCAACCCCATGCCCGACACTCCTCCTTTATCCGGGCTTGGGAGTGGGGTAGTAGCCACACAGAGGCTCCAGGTCGGAGGAGAATACTGGTCAGCGGCCTATGCTCTATTAGGGGTAACAGGTGTAAGTAGGTAAGCGCCGTTTCACACGATTTTGAGTCACGTCACTCAAGGTCTCTAACCATCGATTACTATCGTCTAGCCGACCCCAATCAGGAAGTCTACACTTACTAACATGACTCAGTCCACTACTTGTCAGTGACTTCATGGATTTGTGCCATGTTTTAGTCTAGCAGCCCCTAGCTTTCTTACAGCCTACCCCTACATCACAAAACATCGCTCATCGTGGCAGTTAGTGGTTGAGCATTCGTAACACATGTCCCTACTACCTTAACCAATCAATATTCACTAATTCATCTACTAGTCTCTCATCCCTACATAGAGTACCTTTTTCTTCTAACCATGGCACTACTTACTCAGTGGTTCCAGGATATACGAGTAGTACTTCGAAAAACACTGCACCCTACGAATATTCTCTATTCTTAGTGATCATGGTTTCATGTATAATTCCATGGAGTAGTAGTAGAACAAAGCGAACTGCTGCTACACAGTAGACTCATCGTTTTTTTTTACATTGATAATGGCATAAATAATTTTTTGCATACAAGACAAATACATACATACTACTTACTTTCACTGTAGTCTGAAATGGATTCAATTGTGTTTTCGATTTCATATAACGATCAACAGTTAGATGAATAACTTTATCAAATAAAAATACACCATCAGCAACTTGATCAGGTGTAATGGATGATAAATTCGGTGTGAAATGATTAAGCCATTTAGCTATTTCCACACATTCCCAACCACGATATTTTTTGCATAAATCCCCAGCAGTCACAGCAGTCGGTATACGTAGCATACGAGCTAAATGAAATAATGGTTGATCAGCTTGTCGATTTGAACAACCAATTAAATAATTTGCACCAAGATCAACATCAATTGGACCAGAATAATAATCGTCTGGATTCATTTTATCGCCATCGACATGAACATCGTCTAAGTGACGATCAAATGTCGTTGGATGACCACCACCAGATGGAGGTGAAGGTGATGAGGGGGAGGATGCACAGGAACTGTCGGAATCCGACGATTCATGCATTGATGATGATGATGTAGTAGTGGTAGTTGGTTTTTGTTCATTAATATGAAAATGATAAGTACTAAGATGATCATGATTATTAATACTATTTGATTGAGCATGATCAGCGGGAGGTGCTGCGGATGGGAAAGAAGGAAAACGAAACATAAATTACACTAGAAACATACAGAATTAGACAAGTGATTAATTTGAAATTTGCATCACGGGGTTGTGAAGATTGTTACACATTTTTGAAACCACGAATCGAACAATGTTAGACCACCATTAGAAACATGGAAGCACTGGACCGCCGTCTCGTCCTGGTATGGGACTCGTCAGCAGTGCGCATCCACGACTCCTAAACCCTGCAGGACCTTCGGTATTGTGCGCGAACGCCTAACCATCGGAACACTGAGCAGGTATCTAACGGTGTTAATGTCTAACTTGATGGATTCACGGAGTTGCGCAACCTCATACACAGTTTTCGGTAGTTACTGTTTACACCCGAACAGGTTGAACTTCACTGGTCACGTCTTCCCACTAGAACTCGGAGAAGTTGGTTGCGCACTGCTGACGAGTCCCATACCAGCACAAAACGGCCGTCCAGTGCTTCCAGGTTTCTAATGGTGGTCTAACATTGTTCAATTCATAGTTTCAAAATGTGTAATTTGAAATTGAGTATTTCGTTGAAAAGAAAATGGTAGAAAGACTGATAGAAAAGGAAAGCACAATCAGTACAATAGTTGTATTGCTGAATAGTAAATTAGTCAAGTCTGCCAAAAACAACATCACAGAACTTCGTACGTATGTACATCACTTCAAGTTACCATACCACATTAGCACAGAGATGTAATTGTCAATTCAAATCACATAGTAGTAGAGGTAGAAGACGGATTGGCAATTATCGGAAAGATTACAGTTCGATGATATTTATTATTAAAGAAGCATAGTCCAGTGGAATGAATTTAGAAAAAAAAGAAAAAGGTGATGAGGAATTCAGAAGTTTGGAATTTCATAGAACACAAAGAATGGATGCACCTGCCCCACTGCAAACGCTTTGGAGGCATGTTGTGCAAGGTCTCAAACCACAGATAACTGTCATCTCACAGACCCCAACCAGGTAGTCTACATCTACCAACACGACTCAGTTCACTTGTCAGTAACTTCATGGATTTGTGCAATGTTTTGCTCTGGCCACCCCTAGCTTTCGTCCAACCTATTCATACACCACAAAACAAAGCTCGACGAGGCAGTCGGTGGTTAGGCATACGTAACACATGTCTCAACCACCTCAACTAATGAAGATTCAATATTTCATCTATAGATCTGCCGTCCCTAACTAGCACTCGTTTCGTAACGAGAGCATTGCTTGCTCGGTTGTCCCACGATGCACGAGCAATGCTTCAAAGACACCTATGATTGAAAACCAGTAACCTATGAATATCTAAGCTCAGTGGCCATGTTTCACAGCCATAAAGTAAGGCGGAGCGAACTACTGTGCAGTACACTCGTCCTTTAGTCACCAAACGGATACCTCGCCTGCGCAATAAGTGACGTAGGTTGGCAAAAGCCAGTCGAACCGTGCTGAGATTTCGTAAGTTCAGTTCAATTCGCACTAAAGTCTCATACACATCAAATACTTTGATTCTTAATATGGCACAATCCAGTGTCTAAGACTCTGAAGTTGTCAACCTACATTTATCCGAATACATTGGAATAACCTGAGAATTTCTAACACAACTATAACACCTACCAGGTGGAAATAATCTCACTTTTAGATAAGTATGAATCTGAAACTTATTTGATAATAGGAAGTGAATTAACTTAGTAAGTAAATTAGTTTGCTGTCTAGGTGATGATATTAATCCTGGTGGACTAAACTTGGAGAAAACATAGCAGAGATACATCACTTTCATAAACCACTATCATTCTAAAACCGTTGAGGAACCAGACCCTTTACCAATGATCGATTCTAAGGCGTTATTTCACGGTTATTAGAAAGTTATTTCGTAGTTATTAGGAGCGAACAGAATAACGGTTTCCAACTGATTAAGAGAATCGCCCCCTCCGAAAGCCTTGGTGTAGTTGAAATTAGAGAGAATAAGCTCGTCCTCTCGATATACTCTTACATGGTCACGTGTATATAGCCACTTTCAGGGAAGTACTACTCATTAGCTTCTCGTGTCAAGGATGTTTGTTTATAACATTAAGAGAACGGAAAGCAAATGTCCAATCAGAGCTTAAATTGGGTTGGTGGATACGGAGGATTCAACCATTGGAATCGAAAAAGCCCTCAGTTAAAGCCAATAAATAGTACATAATCAGTCTATGATCCTGAATGAACAAATGTAGTATGAACCTATTGTTGGACACCGGTTATTATAGAACTACATCTCCTAATTTTGCTGCTATACGTCTCGTAGGTTGTTAGACCAGTAGGTCAAAAGTTCAGTGAATGGCCTCCTAAGCAAACCAACTGTTTCGGTTTAGCTACTCGGGCAATAGTACCTCGGGCCAACACAAAAGTCCATTGATTGGTACCAAAGTTTGTTTGTGTTTAATAAAAATAAAGTTTGAGCTCTACCATCAGCCTGTGATAAAATTACCAAGTAAGTTATATTGAGATGCAAATCAGGTCTCATAAAACAAGACATATCATATGATAAAACTCTAAGCGGCTAAATGACCAAAACAAGCTTGTAAATTTAAGTGAACCCGTTAAGACGTGTATTCTGTATTTTTCATTACACAAGTATGAATACTTGTGAGATATGCAGCTGATAAAAATCCATTGTCTACAACATGACAGTAGTCTATGCAACCATTTTATTTTTGGTTGAAAACTTCAATGAAGCTGTAGGCTTTTTATGCTGTAAATAAGTGGTTAAGATGACATTGAATAACTTTGAAATATAACCTCAGTGCTTTTATGTATGGAAGACCAAACAACACATTACGCCGAGAAACGGAAAGCGACATGAGAAGAATAGACAAAATTTGGTTAGAACTAGAAAAGAAGGCCCAGGATAGAATAGGTTGGATAATGCTGGTCGGCGGCCTATGTTCCATTGGAGGTTAGCAGGCGTAAGTAAGTAAGTAAGCCTAACCCTAACAAAAAACAACTTTAAACCAAAACCAAAATCAGCATTTTCAATACAAATGTCAAGACAGTTCTACTGTATGGAGCGGAAACTTGAAGAACTACGAAAGCCATCATTCAGAAGATACAAGTGTTTATTAACAGTTGTCCATGCAAAATACTTCGGATTCGTTGGCCAGACACCATCAGCAACAACGTACTGTGGGAGAGAACAAACCAGATTCCAGTGGAGGAGGAAATAAGGAAGAAGTGGTGGAAGTGGATAGGACAAACACTACGAAAAGCACCCAACTGCGTCACGAGACAAGCCGTCACATGGAACCCTCAAGGCAAAAGGAAAAGAGGAAGGTCAAGGAACACATTGCGCCGAGAAATAGAGAAAGATATGAGAGGAATGAACATAAAATTGGACAGAACTGGAGAAGGAAGCCCAGGACAGAGTTGGTTGGAGAAAACTGGTGGGCGGCCTATGCTCCACTGGGGGTAACAGGCGTAAGTGTGTAGGTAAGTAGTCCATATTCAAAACTGGAATGGCTTATTGGTTAAAGCACATGGCTACTAAACGTGAGGTAGCAGGTTCGAGCATCCACTTCACTTACTTAGCTTTGAGTAGCCAACCAGTCAGTTGTTATGATAAGGCTTCAAATAGTGTTAGCTAAAAACTCGAGTAGCTAAACATGTGTACATACATGGTGCATGTAGCATTAACTACTCTCGACTTACAGTTTATTAGCCTATCTATAGGTACGTAAAAAGCTACATTTGGCTTTTTTTATCTTGTAAATTAATAACTGACTTGAATGTATAGAAAAGTGAGTCATATCCCACTGTGGCAATACACTAAATGACAGACAGACAGATACAACACAGAACTTCGTACGTATATGTACATCAGTTTAGGTTGCCATACCACATTAGCACAGAGACGCAATTTTCAATTCCAATCGAATGGTGGTAGCCATAGTAAAAGTATTATCAGTAATGGAGAAGATTGTGGTATACTTCAGTGAGATAAAGTTAGAATCAGAAAGATAGAGATGATGAGGAATTCAGAAGGTTAAAATTTGAGAGAACACAAAGAGTGGATGCACTTGAGCCATTGCAAACGATTTTGAGCCATATTGTTCAAGGTCTACAACCATCCGTGACTTTTGTCTCGCGTACTCCAACCACGTAGCCTATATCTACCAACATGACTCAGTCCACTTGTCAGTGACTTGATGGATTTCTGCCATGTTTTGGTCTGGCCGCTCCTAACTTTCTTCCAACCTACTCCTACACCACAAAACATCACTCGACTAGGCAGTCGGTGATTAGGCATACGTAACACATGTCCCAACCAAATACACTTAAGGTATTTCATTCCAATAAACATACCAAGGATGAACCGATTGTATATCATATGTTAACCATATTTCATGTATGCAAGTTCACAATCTAAATAATAAGCAGTTTAAAGAACAAAAAGCCATAATTTTTAACTAATGCCATTATTGTAGTTCACTTTATGGCTACACAGAATATTGGTAAAGCTTTGTAGGTTCTGCTGATGTTTGATGACCGGTAGTGAACGTAGAACTGTCAATGAAAATAATCTCATGTTGTGAATAGAGGCGAAGCAGATGAATTCTGTTAAGTCAAGCATATCTTAACCAACTACCAGTAGCGTTGTTACTTCTGTACTACGAAGATAATAAATTAGTACACTACGTAACTCTAGAGAGTCACTATCATTCGAATGGGTCATGCTTCAGCCACAATTACTTCTAATTATACATAGATTCCAAAGAAACTGATTTGTATGGCGGTTTCTAGGATGTTATGAAACCAAATTAATGAACATAAGAGAAGTGAACGCATCTATGTGCGATCTAAACATGGGCTTACAGTTCTATACCGTATTTACTTCATGTCCAAATACACAAACGTTACCAATTACATTTCTAGACTCACACTTAACAGACATTTATTCTACTAATTAGATCAGGTTAGATGACGGGTGGAATTAAATCTTAGGAAAAATATACATCTACAGAAAGTGATACTATATTTTAAATAACTAAGCATTATGAGGATTCGGGAATCAAGTTTAAGGTGTGAATAGAGCTAAGAGTTCAAGGAGCTAACAGAAACTGCATAGAATGAAAGAAATCTGGGCAGAGGTGGGGGAAGGAATAACAATACTACTGAAAAATTTTAATATCCATGCAGAGAGTAACTGAACAGAAGGGTGACCGTTTGTCTAACATTTATATGACATGTATTATAGATTATCATGCATGTATGTACATTCTTGGCTTAGAACCAAAGCTTTTGTGAGGGTTACTGATATCACTACTCAGTTGACCTAACAACGATAAGTAGGAAGAGGGATATAGACTATTCTTTCTACAATAAACTGACTTGACAGCCTAACTTCCGAGCCAAAATAAGGGTAGCGGCTAGTTGGGTAAGTACAAGCATCCTTGTTTCTGCTTCAAACAAACTTCCTAGACAAAACGTAATGTTTATCATTAGGAACAACTTTATGCAACCATTTATTTGTCAGTAGAAAGCTGATATCTTCGGAAACACTGGTGACATAATATCACTCATTAAACTGGGAGGCTAACACGTACTGGCTTGAACGATGCTTTACCTTTACTTATGAAGCCTCTACTAGTACATAAACCAACTAATTCACCAAGTGCTATTAATACTAGGCTTTTTAAGCTAATACTATCCGAAGAATCAAGCATTAGACTAGGACGATACCCTGCCTCATTAGTTAGTGAAAAAAAAACTGTTCTTATAATTTAGTAGTCAAAGGATAAAAGAGAATACGGTTACAAATTTGGGCCAAAATACTTAGCTTTGCGGGGTTATGCAAAATTATGAATACAATTAAGTTACTCAATGTATTTACTGTTCACTAAGATAATATGAGATACCAATCAAAGTAAACCGAGAAACTGACTTGTCGACCATTAGTTAACCAAAAGTAACAAATACTAAGGTCAATTATTTACTATAAATAACTATTGAATTGATTTTCGGTTGTTATTCATCATGCTAGATATGATAGTTAGTGTAATTACATGTGCAAAAGCTGTTATGTTGCTATTTTCCGAATATACTACAAGGATTCTCCTTGCCTACTTACATTGTGTCAAGTGATATATGCATAGCATAAACTTCTCAAGGAAAACACTGGTTTATATAATAAATTAAAGCTTAATTTATATTTTTAATTACTACTAATTGGATTTTAGATTATTTGGTAGGACATTTAATTACCGTACTTGCAAATATTCTGGATTTTATCTACAATAATCTAATAAATAAACTTAGCAACTGTTTAGTAATTATAATTACTTAACAATATTCTTATTTATATCAAACAAATTTTGAGTTTTATGAGGATTTAAAGACTTAACACCATAGAATTAATTTATCTGAAATTATTTGATGTTAATAATACGAGAAAACTCACTTGATAATGAGGGTAGGCGCACGCTGTGTATTCGGCCACCTGGACGACTTCGAGCTTCCAACACCAGAACACTATATGATTCACGTGTGAGTAGGTGGGCAGCTCCTAGTCCAGATATACCTGCACCGATAACAATTACATCGAACATGCCGGGAACCCTTAATTAACAATCGGCCAGCCAATCAAACGAAGACTAGTCACAAACTAAACCCCACCGACATGGGGAACAGGTGCGCGACAAATTCAATTTTGAATTGAGCTAGCATTAACCATTATGTCACCAGCTTTTAACTGATAAACTACATGGAAAAAACTTATTCGATTCTTCTTATGTATTGAAGAGTGTTAGCGTGTAAGACTAAATGGACTTTGTATGTATTTTTCACCATGTCTCGAAAATATTAGTAGGAATTGTGTGCACCAACCAAATCAAAATAATAGCTAACTTAACGTGAAGGAAATAAAGATTGATGTGAATTACGGATAATTATTGAACTTCATTGTTAGTATCACTAGTGAAACCTGCCACTCACAACCGAGTATATTACATGTTTGTAATATAACTGTCAGTGATAGTATAATTTGCGTAAAAATTTAATCGTCTTTAATAATAATTTATTTCTTCATGTCTTGTGAAATCTAAAAATTCGCGGTATTTCAATTGTGATACTGCGTTACGAAATAAACTCTGTAAAGTCTTGGTTATATTAGTGAATGATAAGGTCGGCGTCTGAAGGTTCTTGCCAAAAGCTATTTTCTAGCCCCTGGACATAACTAAAAGGGACTCTTAACTCGATTTTTTGTTTGAGAGCAGCTAAAACGTACAAAACTACAAACCACAATTGGGTGGGATGATACATATCTAATTCCCTAGCCCATAGCCAGGGTTCTGTTTCTGATTAACTAATGCAGGAGTTAAATAGGATAGGTAGTCCTAGAGCTGTAACCTCAGCTCCCTGCTACGATTCCCATCAGTCGTGTTGTAACAACCAAACTCACCGAATGGGAGATAAATACATTAATCGATTTTCAACATGCGGTTTCAGTCTTGTTAGGTTCAGTAAACTAGCCTAAACCATAATATTTGTACACAATTCCTTCGTACGTATTTAATTCACCTCACACTCTTTATACGCTACTTCTACTTAAGTGATGTTACTATCCAAACAGATGTTATTTCTTATTACGAGTTTTAAAACTACTTTGTAAAGTAGACTAAAATAAAATATGTCGAGACTATTTTTCATACATGGTAAATTCGGTAGGACTTCCACATAACTAAGATTTCATTTAGTGTACTACTTTGATAAATACTCATTATGTTTTCAATTACTCGTTAGGTTTCTAATTGTTCTACACTATGAAAACCATACATTATTGTTCAGGGGTGCATACACCGTCAGGTTATTGAAACTTAAGGACCAAGAATGAGAATAAACGGCTTGTAGCGATAAACAAATACTCAAAATAAAAATTCTGTAAGTCTTCGACAAACTTTTGCTGAACACGTGCACTGCTGAGCAAGAAGAAAAGGTACGTTACACCTAAGACGATGGGGGAAAATTTGAACCTCAGGTGGAGTTTCGTTCTCTCAGTTAGATGTTTTAGCTATAGAACTTTCAATGTTCTTTCGAAATGCATCATCAGCACAAACTCCACATCCAAAGCATCTTGTTTAGAGAACGAAATTCCACCACAAAGTTGCACATTGTATGTCTATTGGTGGTATTTCTCAAACTTGCGATACTTTGAAAAATGCAATTGTTAGGCGTGAATTCCTAGCCGACCAACAAAGCTTAGACAAAATTTTTCTCAGTATTGGACTGCAACGCAGCAAGACAACAGAAATATCACTATGTATGAGGGCGGTCACTAACAAATGATTTTTCGAAGAACGCCTTTACGGATAACTCTTTCGGTCTAAACTTTCCTTGCAGGTCCAAGCTATACTCAGGAAATTCCTAAATAATGCTGTGGACAAACTATTGATATATACTAACAGGATTTAAGGGATCACTAGAATCACTATCTCCGAGGCTAGTTCACGGGCAAAAACACTTCAATCGACTCGAAACGGAATTACAGATCTCTGTTATACCATCACTTGATCTCTAGGCTTTAGACATGATCGTGAACATTTTAAAAACTCTTTCAAAGAAACCCATCCCTGGAAAGATCTGTTTGTAGACGGCGAGAAATGTGACCATGTTATTGTTCATACCACAACACTTAGGATACAAATTCATGACCTTGCAGAAAATCCTGAGGAATTCGTAACCCCAAATCTTCTGGCAAAAACATCCCATGAGACTCCCCCACGCGTAAGTTGTAACCATAGCGAACTTATAAAGGCGTCTTCTCTGCATCACCAAAGTAATGTTCGCTACCTCATCGACACTGAAGCAAACGTCAGCGTCAATCCGGCTTTCACTCTACAGGCATAAAACAGATAAACCATCTCCACTTACGGCAGAAGTTATGTTTACCATGACGTGTGTCTATGCAAACCTACTCATCGAACTTTCGTTGTGTCAAACGCCAATCACTGATATAAGCGCTACAACATAGTAACCTACTCGACGACTCGAGCAAACGGAAGTTAGTGGGAGGTAATACTAAGCCATATGTTTGTGGAGCTCTAACCTCTGGTTGTTGGATATATCCAGACACGGTTAAACACATTGCAGATAAAAAATATTCTAAAAATTCCTCAATACTGTTTTGTTTGAAAGTGTCGTTACTTCCTTGCTATTTCACCATGATTTGTATTCGACTCTACTCAGGACATATGCATCTCAGTCGTTACTACTCAACGTTAATGGGTGTTCGATTTCATTATTTAGGTTTCCATTCCTGCCATTGACAATCAGGTCGTGTTTTACTAAATACAAGGTCACGGCATGGTTTCTTGTGTGATTTTTGACCATTAATTACGAGTCGGAAACAGTTCCTCGGATCGTTGTAGGAACGTATTTGATCCCATCTTGATTGGAAAACTGTTGTCCCTTTTCATGTGCAGACTATTAACCATTCTTTTTGACGTTAAGTGCACTACTGTTTGCTAGAGAAACCAACTACATAGCAGGCTATGCCATTTGAGGTGATTTGTAACTGCAATAAATAAGAACCGTTTATACTTAGCACTTAATTTATGTTCTGAAATAATTTAATACAGGTTACTCAAAAATCCTTATGCGCTTTACTAAGAGCGTGATTTTGTATAACTGGATAAATCTTTGCTCGTTAGCTCTGTGTTCAGAATAAATACTGGTAGTCTAGTTGTTGTACACAGAATCTACCTATGCTTTCAACTAATATTTGACAGGTACCATAAGATGTGAGGAACACGACCACAATAACCATGTCTTACTAACAGTGTTGCAAATCACATCGTGACTACATGACCGACTGCATTCTCAAAAGCACTCTGACTATTCCTAAAAAGCCACGAGTTTCCAATGATGTACTCGGTCTGAGAGCATAATCTAATCCCTATAGCTGTGAAAGACATTCCTTAAACAGCTATCATCACTCCTGTTGGACTCTAGAAATTTTTCCTAAGGGCTTTTGGTGGAAGAAATGCTGTCCAAACTACTGAGACTCATTGGAGACTATTTTAGAGGTATCGGTTCTGTGCATTCTTATGTTGACAAGTCTTATGACAAGTGTGGGCAGAAAATCTCATCTGAAGCATCTGGATTTTGTCTTTAGCAACTCCAAGAACATGGTATTACCGTTAGTATACAGAAATGTCAAGTCGTAACTGATTCTCTCGACTTTCTCACGCATATTATGAAGTTCAAGGTATCATTTTCTAAAACTTGGAGTGGCGGCCATTCAAAAATACACAGAACCGACCACAGTCAAGTAACTACGCACGTTCAATGGACTGCTAAGTTTTAACCAATGGTTTATACCGAACTGCGCGTCTCTCACAAGCCCGTTTATGGACTAAATACGTTGAAATACTAAAACCACTAATTTGGACGACATTCATTCATTCTTCTGTCTGTCTCTAAATCTCAGAACAGTGTGTTCCTTCATCGAACTACCCAACTTTTCCTTCAGGGTTCAGAGCAAAGGTTTGCCTCCTAATGAAGTTAGGAGATTTCCGTAATGTACGTCCTTTACACCTTCAGGGCTTTTTCCTGATTACTTCCCCACCTGAAGAAATCTGATTTGTTCTCACCCACAGAAGGTTTTTGCTAGTGGTCTCTGACCAAAAAATTCGGAAAATGTTGTATAGACAATTGATCATAAATCTCTGTCTTTAGTATGACAGCTTTTCTAGTTTTATACGTATTCACTCCTTATAAAAGAACTGTTTTGATGTCCATAATGGAAATTATGACCTAGCTAACAGGCAGTTATTTGAATTCTAGATCTTCTTTTGATGTAGAAGTATCGTCCTTGCCTAGTTATCCTTGCTTGGTTCATTGTACTGAGTGATATTCACTATGTTCATTGTAATTTCCTCTATATTTGTTTTGAAAGATGCTTCGATGATTCTGTATCTATGAGATTCCCATCCTGTCAGTGCTTTTTGACATTCGTTGAACAGCATCAGTACAAACCCTCGTGAGTGCGAGGCATCCTCTTCTTATTCACATCCGAAGTACAAAAGCATCTCTCCTGAGGCCGTTCCTTGTTGTCCAACCGGCGTCCAATGTATTTCACAGATTCCAAGTAGCTCATGGCCTCCTAAGGAATTCGGCCTTCATCATGAGACGTCATAACTCTTCCTAAAGAAGATCTAACTCCCAGGACAGAGTTTAAATGGCGTGAATTATTTTTTCTGGTTAGCGTTTTTTTGAGCGAGTTAGTTTCCCACAGGATAGGGTCGCATACTTCAGCCTAATTCTCTACCTTTACCTGGGCTTGGAACTGGCAATAACCATGGAAAGGATTCAGGTGGAGTTGTTTAGCATCAGAAACTCACTATGTTCGCACTTTGTTTCACTACTGCATGAACGCTGACAAATTATCAAATTTAACTACTCTCTTTCATTATCAAGACTAATAACCGGTGGAGTCATTAAAAGTAGTTTTTAGTCACACTATTGTTTCTCATGAGAATAAATGATAAATGTAAGAATGCAAAAGCTGAAGAACCACGATTATATGTTCAGGACTTAGATATAGTGTACAGCATTGTCTGTAGATTTGAATTAAAATATGTTCCAGATTCAATGTGACCTTGGCAACCTATCTATGTGGAGCAAAACCTGGGTGTTATCATTGAACCATATTAAATATGGGATCATGTATTTTGGTGAACATCTCCACTAAATACCACTTTACATACAAAAATATAGGGTTTAGACACTCATATCACTTCAAAATCTGGGTACTTACTACTCTGGAAGCTCAAAATTTGACGAACATTACTCTGTTATTATATTTAAGTCTAGAAAGGTTGTGGGGTTCATAAATAAGTACTTCCTGACAAA